GTGATGTTCTGGGCCCTGTTGCCATCCTCCTCCCTTGCTGTCCAGCTTTCCCACCTGGGAGGCACCTGGGGCTGCTCTCCCCAGGTCGAGGTTGGCAATGCCACAGGTGTGACGAGGGACCTGGGTGCCTGTTCCTAAGATGACCCACTGGCTAGTGTGGGTGGCCCTGCAGCACTTGATGGAAGCACCCACGTCAGGGAAACTGCAGATCCATGAAGGGGCAGCAGCCTTACCGGGCAGGCTGCGACCTGCATCATGGCATCCAGCCCACCCTCAGGGGCGTCCAGGTTTCCAGAGATGAGCTGCTTCCCGACCTCTGTCTGGAACTGGTTGGCGTTGTCGGTCAGCTTCAGCACGTGCCTGAAGGCAAATGGTGCCTGGCAGCCCACCTCCTTGTTGGGGCACGGGTTCCTCAGCTTCTCAGGGTGTGTGTTGACAAAGGGCAGCACAGTTTTGTCCACAAAGGACCCAAAGCCTGGGGAACACATGGGTGAGGCTGGGGGACAGAGGCTGGCCCAGATGGCAGGGCACGCCTCGGAGCCTGAGGGTGGAGCTCAGTATTCCCTCCTTAGGGTCGAGCAAGTCTGATGGCACAGGTGCGTGTATGGAGCTGAGTGCATTCATTGTACAGCATGTGTGTGCACATGCGCAGCCAGGTATGCTCCTGGGAGTGTGTGATCATGTACACATGTGGGTACAAGTGTGTGTTCCTGTGAGCATGTAGTGTGATTGCACACACCTAGTCTCACACACATGGTGTGACTGGGTGTGCATGCACAAGTGGGGCCATGTACGCATGCAGACACGTGAACATGGTGTGCATTTGCATGTGTGCAGGGGTGCGAGCGTGTTTTCCCGTGCTTTATCATGCATGTGTGCCTCCCTGCATGTGGAGCAGGCGGTGGAGCGCTGTCCTGGGAGCGTCAGGCAGGCTGAGAGGCTGTGGGTGCCTGGTGTCCAGACTGGTGCTTTCTTCTGGCTCCTGCCTGTGAAGTGCCAAGACACTGCCCCCCTCCCGCTCTGCCCCTGGAGTTCACTGCATTGTCTCCTAATGCTGTTGTCACTGTGTGGTCCGTGTGTTTGTGTGTGTTCGTTAATGCTTAATAATTAGCACTGTAAGACTTTTGTCTTTTAAACACCACAAAAAACAAATTAAAGAAGGGGGGGGGGGACAAGGGATCTGGACAATGTCTGCAAGTCTCGGGGAGCTGATGACTGGGTCTGGCCCTGGCGGAATGCAGCCCCCACTGCAGCCCTGTGTCAGGAGCCCTCTCTCCCCCCGGCCCCCACCACCTGCATCTGGCCCCGGGGGACTAGCCCCTGGAAGTGTGTGGGTGGCAGGGGTGGCCCAGGGTTTGGAGAAGGGCTGAGCCAGTGGCCTGCAGCAGCTGTGGCCCTCACCAATGCGGCCAGACTCTGTGATCTCATTGAGGGCCCGGAGCAGGTCACCGCCCAGCTTCTTGACGTTAATGAGGTCATCCAGCATGGAGTAGGAGAGGTCCATCAGGTAGTACAGGTCGATGGGGTAGCCCTTGGCCCGCCGGAAGGTCACGTTGAACACAGCCGCCTGACCTGCGTGCAGGGCCACAGAGAGTGAGGGGGCCCCCTCCTGACCTCACACAGGCCTGCATGCTGACCTTCTCTCCCCCAGCCCCAAATCCTCCAGACGCCCCCTTGCTGCGGCCTGGCAGGACACCCAGGTGGACTTGAATTTCAGAGAAAGGACACACACTAAATGGTCACATGCTGCATCGAGATATTTTGGCCAAGGACTGCATGCTCCATGGTGTCCCTGAGACCATCAAGCCGTATTTTCACTGACCCTTGCTTGTGTTTGGATACTTGCCCCTGAGTCAGGGCCTGTGCAGTCGGCACCATCGCGAAGTGCACAGGGCCACAGCCCCGGATTGTCACCACACCACTCGGTCCCAGTGCCATACAGGCTTCATGGCTGCACCCCATGAGGTCTGTGTGGGGAGGCACATCCCTTATCCCCGTCCCCAAGCAGCACGAGGCTGTGTGAGAGTGTCCATCTACTGTGCAAGGAACGTGTGTCCCCAACACTCCTGTGTTGAAATCCTCACTCCTGAGGGAATGGTATTAGGAGGTGGGGACATCAGGGCAGGGATAGGACCCCTGCCACCTCCCAGACACCTGGCTCCTGCATGCTGCTGGCCCTAGGACCTTCTCCCTCCTCCTGGCTGTCACCTAACTGCCCGCACAGCCCCATTTGCCCCAAACTAACCCACTGGCCCTCTGACCAGGCTACTCCCAAGGGCCATGCTCCTCAGCCAGATGCTGCTGGGTCCTCCAAAGCTGCCCCTCCCTGGGTGCTCACAGCCTTCTCCCACGGGCAGTGCTCAGGGATGGCTGCCTGTCCCCTGCTGGCCTCACCATGGCCTGGCCACTGGCCAGTCAGGTGGAGCCACAAACGCCAGGCCTTCTCTTCCTTCCACTGCTCTGCCAGAGCTCTCTCCTGGGCATGGACAGGGCTGTGTTCTGTAACAGGGCTCTCTGGGCAGGCCAGTTTGGGCAAGGCAGTTTAAAAGGCTACCCAGGTCTCTAGTCACAGGACTTATCAGAGTCTTGACTCTGCTAAGAGAATCGTGGCCTTCTGAGAGTGTTTTGCAAATGGCCTGTTCTCCCTTTTATTTATTTTCATTTTTATATTTTGAGACAGAGTCTTACTATATTGCCCTTGGTAGAGTGCTATGGCATCACAGCTTACAGCAACCTCAAACTCTTGGGCTTAAGCGATTCTCTTGCCTCAGCCTCTCAAGTAGCTGGGATTATAGGCACCTACCACAACACTGGGCTACTTTTTTTGTTGCAGTTGTCATTGTTATTTAGCTGGACCAGGCCAGATTCGAACCCGCTAGCTTTGGTGCATGTGGCCAGCGCCATAACCACTGTGCTATGGGTGCCAAGCCTGTCCTCCCTTTTAAAAAGACACAGAAAGGGAGCCCAGCTGTCCAGCCTTGACATTGAGGGTTGTGGGGAAACACACCCGGGTACAGAGAGGAAGGGCTGAGGTGAAACCTGGACTCTGGCCTACTGTGTCCAGCCATCCTTGGACCTCACCAGCCCACCTTGATGTGCAGCCTGGACACATACTCTGTCTGTTCAGCCCTGACAAACTAGAGCAGGGCCGAGCTCCTAAGCAAAGCCCTGAACACCCACCACACAGATGCCCAGCCACCCCCACTGAGGCCACCCTACCTGGTCTCAGGTAAAGTGTCACTTTTTGTGGGGACAGTTGCTTCTGACCCCTCTCCCGGTCTTCCTGGGCTTCCGCAAGGCTCCTGGGGTCCATGATGTCATCAGCCGCACAGCCCCTCATTAGCAGCTGCTCTCGGGTGTCACAGCGAATGGAGTCAGGTTCCCCTGGCCCAGTGAAGTTCTGGGGGAGGTGAGTCGGGAGTTAGGATGAGGGCAGAGAGAATGTGAGCCCTCCATGGGCTGCAGGAGCCTGACCAACCCTTGGGGTCCCCCTCCTCCTCCACACCTGACACTGGGGACAGTGTCCCTGTGGGGCTGGGTGGGGGTAAGAAGCCCCTCCCTGCAGGCTCCCAGGCCTTATCCAGAGACCCTAACCCCACTTGCTGCCTCCAGCAGTGACAAGGACCCAGGGTCCACCATCTCCAGCCTGAGGCTAACTGACAGCCCAGAGCCGGGAGTGATGCATGGTCAGCAGCTGGCCTGGGAGCTTCCAGCCTCCAACACTGAATCTCTGTCCTCAGGGCACATGTGTCTCCTTGCAGCTGGTGCAGCTATTGCGGGAGCCCGCAGCAAGAGGAGGTGGGAGTCTGGGGGCTCCTGGAGGAGCCCTCTGTGGGGGAACTGGGGACCCAGGACCCCTGGGGGATCCCTCTGTGGGGAGAGGTGAGGTTCTTGGGGGAGCCGTCTTCAGGGGGTGGGGGAGGTGAGCTTGGAGCCCAGGAAGTCACCCTGAACCCCAGCTGCCTGGGGCTTTGGCCTTTCTGTGCAGATGGCACCAAGTAAAATAGGTGATGTCACTGAGCACCCACCATGCTGAGGTCCTGGATGGGAAACTTCTCTGCATTTTCCCCATACCCGGGCACCTGTTGCTGCTGGGAGCACCACTGGGCCACTTGCTGCCCCTCTGGGAAGCCTCTCTTCTAGGACATCTGGTCAGGGTCCCTGCAGAGCCCATGCTGCCTGGACAGGTGCCTCAGGGCACAGGTGGCACCAGGGCCAGGGCTGGCCTAGGTGACTGGGTCCACCTGTCCTGATCTCAGACCAGCCTGGCTCTGGGCCACTGGGCCTCTCCTGCCCTCAGACATAGGAAAGGGGTTCCGTCCCAGAGAGGGGAAGGTGGGGTGGGCCCTCCAGCTCTTTTTTTTGTTTTCTTTTTTTTTTTATGAGACAGAGTCTCACTTTATCACCCTCAGTAGAATGCTGTAGCGTCATAGCAACCTCAAATTCTTGGGCTTAAGCAATCTCTTGCCTCAGCCTCCAAGTAGCTTGGACTACAGGCGCCCACCACAACTCCCAGGTATTTTTAGAGATAAGGTCTCGCTCTAGCTTAGGCTGGTCTTGAACCTGTGAGCTCAGGCAGTCTACCCTCTTTGTCCTCCCAAGTGCTGGGATTACAGGTGTGAGCCACTGTGCCTGGCAGGCCCCCTAGCTCTTACCAGCTTCTGGCACCAGGAACAGCCAGGCCCCGACTGGATGCAGTCCCGGCAGGTGCTGACCTTATACTTGGTGCACTCCTCGGCAAGGCCTGGACAATGAGACTGCTGGTGAGTAGACACCTGCCTGCCCTGGGCTGCCCCTCAGGGGTGAGT